CCTCCAGTGAACAGGGTAAGCTAGAGAAAGGAGGAGGGGTGGTCACAGGCAGAATACAATTTTCTGTTTTGACCTAGGTAAGGGGCAAAATCAGGCCCAGCCAGCTGTATTTGAAATGTCTGGGCTGCTCTGAAAAGTCAAGAGGGAGCTGCAATTTGGGTAATTGAGGAAAATAGAGACGAAGTCCACTGGGGATGTTAAAACATAATTATTTTCCTTTACAAAAAATAAGATACTCTCACATTTTCACCATAATACCCAATTAGATGGGAGAGAGGCAAGAAATATTGCAGGGTTTATATCTTGGTAGGGATAAATATGTAAATTGATCACCCCGGACAGATTGCCTAGAAGCCACTTCAATTAATGGTTCTCATTTCTCACTATTCTTCAGCATTTCTGTCATCTAAGTTTTTTTGACTTTTTAACATCAGGGAACTTGGCAGTGACTCATATAATCTGTGTTCTACCCTTGCCTCTCCCATCATTTCCCTGGGTGATCCTTGAACAAGTTACTTCATTAATTTTAATTGGATGCTGTCAAGAGAAAAGACTTGTCGGGCTGGGCTGTGAGTCCGCACTTATTCAATCCTTGTTCACACAAATTCCTGTTAATTCTGGTGGGAATTTTCTCTGGGTGAAGACTGCAAGATTTGCCCTGACTGCATGTGCTGAAAAGATGGCAACAATTGGATGTGTGGAGTCTGGTCATGTGCAGGTTTCTTAGAATCTGCTATTAAAACTTTTCTTGCTTGCCACTTGAACAAATTCAGGCCCGTCACTGGTTGATTCCAACCACAGCAGGCATTCCTAAGCCGGTCTGTATTTCAGACTGTATTAGCAGCTCTGCCCTCTCCATTCAAACTTTGGGAAAGTTAGAATGTCCATGCACATCCCGTAAATTCTTGGCCATGAAGGAAAGAGCAAAAATATTATGTGTGTTTATTTTTCTAACCTACCATTGTGAAACAAAAACGAACAGGTAGATACAGTTCTTGTCTCCAAACAAAGAGCTCATGAGAAAGTGGCCAGGCTGGCTTCCACTGCAGCAGAAATCCAGCCAAATGTGTTTCTTCTTCAGAGGAGACCAGAGACAGTTTAAACAGCTCTTACAAGATTCTTAAGAATATGGCAAATAAAGGGGATGTGGAAACACTAGATTAGAAGGTGAGTGTGCTTTATTTACATAGCTTTGTAGAGCAAATATTCCTATTATAATGAGAGCAGTGACAGCTTCTGATTAAACAATATCCTTTTAAACACAGGAGTACTAGAAAAATACAGGAGTCAGAAAAATTATTGGAACTGTGTAAAATAAAGACACAAATAATAATAACGATGATGTTAATAATAACAATAAGTGGTGGTAGTAGCAATAGTAGTAGTAGTAGTCAATAATATTAATATTATGTTCTACCTGGACTCTCTGCAATTCCTTGCACTTTAATTTCTGATCCCTGAATAAGTCCGTTGAAGCACCCTCTAATCCAGCAGGACTGTTCAGGGAAAAGGTCCCCAAAATGGGACAGGACTGGTCAGGCACAAAGGGTCTCAGCTTTCCTGGGTATATTTCCTGGGCAACCAAATTAAACACCAAGGATCCAGGAAATATCCCCTTTTCAAATGACACAAAGGGGTGATGGCTCAAAGTTGGACCAAATGATCTTTGAGGTCTTTTCCAACATAAATGATCCTGTGATTCCATGAACCACTGGTTTCTGTTTCATCCCTTAAAATTCCATGTGTGTTATTTGTTGAAAAGGAAAAATAAATACTTTATCCAAGAGAAAGCAAAATTTTCCCAAGAAGCAGCATGCAGAACAGTCTTCCACTTTTATGAAGATTATGGAATTGCAAGTTTAATATTATGACATCAAATGGCTGGTGGCTACTACTTGCAGACAGTGATATTATTAAATGTATTTAATCTCAGAAAGGAATTTCACCAGCTCACAGAACACCATAGGTTTGTGACCATTATTTAGCAGAACCACAACACCCTATTAGGTTTGTGTTGAACAGAAAAATACCTTCATTTTAGAAGTACAATCCCTTCATTTTCTGTCAGTGATTTGTGGTGTCTTAACATAGGTGCGCCACCCCTAAAAAGATATTATTTTTCCCAGGATAAAGAGTGGCCCAAAAATTCGTGGTTAAGGGAGTGAGATACCAAGTAACCTATTTCTGTTTCACTAACAAAAAGGTTTCTGGTATAAATAAACAGAAAGAGAAGGAGGTGCAGGAAGCAAGCAGATTTGTATTGAAGCTGGACTTCAAAGTAAAGATAACATTTTCTAATACATCTCTGACCCAGACCCTCAAGGACATGGAGCAGTGTTACTCTGATGCTTAAATAACTTAATAGGTATGGACAGAAATGGTTTAGCAGGACACATAAATTTGTGTCCTCCAATCTGCCTATGGTTGGTGTGTTGGTTTTGCAAAGAAGAAAATACACAAGTGAAGTGCAGAAGGGAGGATACAGCGGTACAGTGAGGGAGGAACATGCCATCATGGGGGAAGTGGCTGTCCCAGTCCCATTTCAGGCAGGAGAAAAATCTTCCAGTGGAGTTAAAAATTTCATTTTCCAGTCCATCAGGGAGAAATCCTAAGCAGGAGGATGAAATACTGCTCTGGATGTAATCACTTATTAATATAGAGAGGATTTTGATTATAAGCCATGCCCATACAACAATAAAGGCACATTTACTCTGCAAATCCTAGCCCAAGGATGGCAATCTAAAACCTGTGGCCACAGAATATTGTGCAAGAGAAACCTATTTACATTGTGGCTTTATAGGTTATTTTCTCTTGTGTGTCTGTTCTGCACTGACAGAACCCATGGAGTTGAATATAAAGGAAATCATAAACAACTCTTCAAACTATGCTTCAATCTCTGGATTCCACTGGCATTAAAACCCCTTTCTCTGAACTTCTGCTGTTCATTCCCACACAGGAGAAAAATCCCTTTGCTGATATGGCTCAATGTTACACGACATGTTTCTCAATTCAAATACTTTCTCTCACTTTTATTCCTTTTTCCTTTTTTTTTCTGTGCACACTTACTTCAAGGACTATTTCCAGTGAACTGCTAAGGCATAAACAATGTAAATCTTAATTATAGTACAAAGAGTAGGGAGATCCAGCATCTTGGCCTTTTCCATACAGTAGCATGTTTTGAAACTTTCCATGTTTGAGGTCCTCTCTCTAATAACAAGGATTATTACGATGTGCCTACAAAGAGATAACGCCAATGAATTACACAGAAGATTAGTGAGAAATCTCATTTCATGCACCCATCAAAATAAAAGCTTTTCCGACTCATTGAAGAGCAGCTTTCCTCCCTCATTGCACCAGATCCTTAAATATCCTGTAAGAGGGCTCAAAGAGACCAGAGAACCCAAAGCTAACCTGTATTCCTAGCAAACTTCCAACCAATCTGTGCTGGAAGGGTCATTTATGCTGACAAACAAGAACATGAGTCAGCCCCATGTGTCTCTCATGTACCACCCTGCAAAAACCCCCCAATGTGAGCCAGTGATGACAGAGTGGAAAAGTTCCTGCTGGTTTCTAGCAAGCAAAACACAAGACAAATTCCTGCTCATTGGTAGAACCTTAAAATACTTGACAAACAATATGTTCTGCAGCACATCTGGGAGACCAGATATTTTTGTGTTTATATTGGGGATAGCTAAACCAAAACATGCTCCACTTGTCAGAGATCCATGAAGGGGAAAAAAAAAGATTCCAAAGAACCTTGCACTGTAAGTACATGAAAGCCCACCCTGCTGGCTCTCCTCCCTGCTTTGGTTAATATCTTCCAGTAAAATACAGTCATTGCACATCTGCATAGTTTTTTCCATGTCAAGGATTTCAGACTCCTTCAAAAATTGACACAATACAGCAATCCCTCCTCTGAAGTGTGCAGCCATATTTGGAATGAAATGTAGCCACTGTTCAACAATACAACCCTGTGTAATAATCCCTGACAGAAAGTGGACAGTGACAAAATAGAACTTGTGGAAAAAATATTAACTTATATGTATTTTTACAATAATTTAAACTGTAAATTGTATAGAACATAAAACATGTCCCAGAATTTGCTCTTTTTTCTCTTCACACTTCCCATTTGGTTTGCATGAATCTACTTACATTGTAATTGTTCTTCCACCACTTTTTTCTCTTATTAAGGATTCCGCATCCAAGTCCAAACACTGCATTAAGCTGCATCTCTTACTTTCATAACTGGAGGCTTTGGCTGGACACCATGGCCACAAAGATCTACTTGCATTTTGAAGAGCAAAATCTCCCTCCTTCCTTCCTTCCTTCCTTCCTTCCTTCCTTCCTTCCTTCCTTCCTTCTCCCTTCCCTTCCCTTCCCGGAACTTCCCTTCCCGGAACTTCCCTTCCTGGAACTTCCCTTCCCAGAACTTCCCTGAACTTCCCTAAACTTCCCTGGACTTCCCTTCCCTGAACTTCCCAGAACTTCCCTTCCCAGAACTTCCCTTTCCTTTCCTTTCCAACACAAAATTACCCAGTCCCATCCAGCTTAGACTCTTATGGAACTGATAACCCCTCTGCTGGGTGCAGAATGACTCGAAGGGATGGTTTGTCCTTTTGCAGAGAACTGTGGGGGCACCTTTGCTTTTAATGTCAGACTGGAAGGCCACTCCAGCTCTCCCCTCTCCCTTTACAAGTGCATGGTAGCACAGCCTAACAGCACAGGCAGGTTACCAACCTTTTGGGAGCAGTCACACATTTTCTCCTCAGCAATCAGACACAGGGAAAGAGCAAAAAGCATCTAAAGGAGAGATGGGAGAGTGATGGCCTTGCTGTGCTAGGGAGGGACAATCCACACACTGTGTATTATTTCAGTGACAAGTGTGAATGTGTTTTAAATGTCAGCTGCTGTAGCAGAACCCAGTGTCTACACACAGAAGCAAGCAGTATTTTTGATTTGCTGACACAAAAGCAGCTCCCTTCCTCTCTTGCTCTTCTTAGCAGCCGCTGCCTGGAGTGCATATGAGGAGGAGAGAGCTGCTGCCCCTGGCTTGCTTAGGAATCAAGCGGAGGAAAGAATTCACGGTGGGCTGCTCTGTGGGAGGAGGAATGAATGTCCTTCCCTCTGGGATAACAGGATTAATGCCAATCCCACACATTTGTGTGTGTTCTGGGGTGGACCTACCCCTTACCATCAGATGGCATGGAGTGGCATTTGCACTGTGTAATGTTGTGACCCACTCTACTTCCCTGAATGTGGGCTTGAAAATGTATATTTATGTATATGTGCCTATATGTGTACACAAATCACACAGACAAATGTCCTTACACTATTGTAATTAATTATTGTTGTGTGTCTGTTATCTTCCTTCTTTTTTTTCTTTTTGGAAACCTCAGCTAATTTGAAACAATATCCAAGTATTTATGTTATAGGTAGGTCTTTCCAAATTCACAGCTTCAAGAACATTTATGCCATGGTTCTTGGTTCTGATCCACTTTTTAAATACAATTTTTTTCCTGAAAATGATAAATACATATATTTATACACACATACAGCCTGGACAGCAAAGTAAGCCCTGACCCTGAGTAATTTCTTTGACATTTAGATTTGAAAAACCATCTTTGGCAATCATCAATGACCATGTGGTAGTCAGGGCTATGTCCAAACCACCTGAGTTTGGACTGCCCTTTTTGCATTCACACTTTGGTTGTTAATTCACTCCAGATGCCAACACTTCTCATCTGGAAGGATCTAATGCACCTTGTCTGCATGCAAGTCCCTCACAAAAGAAAACCCATGCAGGTTCCCCCTAGGTGATCTTTAAAGGTGAGTTATGAAAGATGACTGAAACAATATTTGAAACACTGTCTTACTCATAGTATTTTCCAAACACTGCATGGAAGCTGTGCATTTCATGTAATAATAGTCCAATAAAAACTATTAAGAATGCCAGAAGATGAATTGTCCTTTTCAAAAATGAATCCAATACTGACATGCTGCACTTCTGTGCATATAATGTGTTATCAAGATTTCTTGATGTTGCCAAGGAAAGACTTTATGTTAAACGTGAAGTTTTTCATCCTCATAGAGAGGATGAAACTGCATGGAATTCCCAGGATGAAACAAAAGGGCTTTTGGCTTTTCATCTTCAGTGATGATGAAGGGGCTTAGACACATGCTTATCTTCATGTATAACTCATGCCTGCAGGTCACTGCAGCATTTGGCCCCTGACACACTTGTTTCAGCACAGAATCTGTACTGTAAAGCCTGGGATGTGAACTTGTCCTTGCTGCAGTCAGTGGGATGCTTCCTGGGAGCAAAGTTAGCTTATGTGAGCCAGCAGAGCTGGCCTGTAAGGGCTAAAATAGAAAATGAGCTGCTCAGATGTTGTGAACTTTAAAGTAGTGCCTTTCTGTAACTTCAGAAGAGAGAAAAAAAGATTCTTTGAATAACAGCTTTATCCTATTTTTCATTATTTTACTATTTACTGTGGTATTGTCCCAAATAAAGCCCAAATGAGGTTACCATTTTAGGCTTCTTTATACCACATTAAGCAAATGATCACTACTTGGATTCTAACCATCTTTTGTATTTTTATATACAGCTTTAACTTTGAAACCTTGAAGCAGTACAGGCTTGACTGGGAACAGTGCCACACTTAGTGCCATTGAATCTTAACACCAATTCCAGCACAAGTTTGGGCAAGACTGATAGTTAAATCACCCATCTTCTGTTTGGTGTCACCCTCCACACTGAGACAGGTACTTGAAGTTGACACCATATCAGAAGTCGTGATTTTAAACAGTTTTTTATTTGATGAGACAGGAGTGTTAGAGCTGGAAGACTTGTAGATATTTTAGAAAATAGAAAGTGTCTACCAACTCGCTAAAATATAAGATCGGTTTTATTTTATATTTACTGCAAAGAAGAGCCACACAACATCAGGCAGATGATGATGAGACTGTTGGGACACAAGCATTTGGATGCTGCATCTGGCACTAGCATGGGATGACAGAATCATTGATCAGGATTTAATTTTAATTTCTTGTCCTAATTTGCATTTCCCTATTACTGTTTGCAGCGTTTTAGCCCTGTGGGTTTGGGACCTGACCAACAGCCAGTTGAAAGCTCAAACCATTAAAAGTCCAGCATTTCTCTCTTTCCTCCTGTTTTGCGGAGAAAAGAAGAAACCTCACAACTTGTAAAAGTTGTAAAGCCCGGTATGCTTTATTACGACGCGCGCCG